TGCATGGATCTCCTTTCTCAGCCCTCCATTTTATCATCACAACCACTTTGGGAGGTAGGATACTTGGAAAGAGGGAGGGAGGGAGAGGTGATTAACTCAGTCATGCAGTACATTTGTAGCTTTGCAGTCCTCATTCAAGACTTAATCACTTCACAGTACACACACAAACACAAGTCGTTGGGATGGGAGTGGGGAAGTAGAATTCTACCCATTTCCTTAAAGAAACAAACACATCTTTTTTTAAAAAAAAAAAAAAACCCCGAACAAAATAAAATTGTTCATGCAGAAAGGCAGTTAAGAGCATGCAGGAAGAACAAAAATTTGAAATAGAAAAAACTCCTAGATTTTAACAAGGAACACTAAAAGTGGCAGTACCAACATTCTGTACTATCATTCATTATGAGTGAGTGGCAACAATGTCTTGTGTTTTGTTACCCCCCCCCCTTAATTACAGCTGTCAGATATACAATAGCAGAAAGACATTTTTTTTTAAAAAAAAATAAGATTCTCATTGTGGGGCAATTAAAGGGAAAAGGAAGAAACTTCTTCCCCAATGGCCATATTTCCTAAGTTTTCTAGTACCAAAATACAGGTTTTTTTTTTTTTTTTTGTCTTGCAAGCTCAGAATTTCAGTTGATTTAATTGCAAATTAAATTATATCCAGTAATAGAAATTATTTTGAACTATTATAGTCTTGTTTTCTTTCCTGTATCCCACCTTGTACCCCACCATAACAATGTAAAAAGTTTGGATTAAGTGCACATTTCTTCTTGGCTCAGTTCTCTTGAAATATATCAGCATTCATGGAGATTTCTGGCAGAAACAGGTCCCCTAAGCATCCCTGCTTGTTTATGGAACTGTGGCTGCCTGTAGGAGGTCTTGGCTGAGCTAAAAAACCTAAGGAATTGGACCTGATGTGTATTTTTTTTTTAAAAAGACCACCGAGAAATACAAACTAGGAAATTGAGAAAACACCCTGAAGAAGGTAGTGGCTACTTCTGCATTAAGACTTGTCCTTTAAGCCTGTGGCCCCCAACCTTTTGGGCACCAAAGACCGGTTCCATGGAGAGAGGTTTTTCTGTAGACCAAAGGGGGCGTCATTTTGTGTGCTGCCTCCATCCCGCAGATAGGGCTTCACTTGTTTGGGCGGCCTGGTTTCTGGCATGCCATGTGGCCTGGTGCCAGGCCACAGACCAGGAGTTGGGGATCCCTGCTTTAAGCAGCAAGGAGTCAAACTCAACTCGAATTTATCTTTGCTAAATTTAATGCAAGGGGACTATTCCCACCAATTAGCTTGAGACCATGGGCCTTCTGAAGAGCCTCCGTCTGAAAGATCCCTCTACTCAACACGCTGTTTGCCGAAGAACCTAGGTATCCCACTCAGAAGCAAAGGGGATAATTTTACACAATAAATCCAGAAAAAGAAAAAAACAGCTAAAGAATCCATTCAAAGTCTCTTGTGACCCCCAACTGCCTAAACTATTTCAGGGCAAAGTTGAATATAGTCAGATTAATCCCTGAAGTATTTTATCAAAGGAGATTTTATTAAACAGGGTCAAAGACCAAGTCATGTTTTTCCATTGTTTGTACAAATGTAGGTACATTTTCACTGTGAACAACAGCTAGTGAAGCTCTTTACATAGAAAAGGAAAATTAATCCAATCTTTGCATGGTTATACTGAATGACTGTAAATAGACTGGCCTTCTCTAAGGACATTGCTTTCCAGGAGTAGAATGGTGGGCATCTCAAAGGTGGGGTTTTTTTTTTCCTTTCAAAAGGCAACTGGACTGTTTTTGTTTTGTTTTCCTTGAGGAAGAAGCAGAAGATGTTTTGCTTCTCATCCAAGAAGCTTCATCGGTTCTGGCAGGATGGTGGGGGCCAGAGGTGGTATTCAGCAGGTTCTGACCAGTTCTGGAGAACCGGTAGTGGAAATTTTGAGTAGTTTGGACAACCAGCAAATACCACCTCTGACTGGAGATTTTACAGTATCCTTCCCCTGCCACGCCCGCCAAGCCACGCCCACAGAACCGGTAGTAAAAAAATTTGAATCCCACCATTGGTGGGGGCGATGGAAATATTAGTTCTGACTGGGTCGGTCTGACTGGGTCTGGATGACTCAGAATCTCCACAGACAAAATGGTGGGTGAAGTGGTTGTCTGCTAGCTGGACTGAATATGTTGCTTAAGAGTGTTAGTCCAGACTAGATTTTCTTAAACTGGTTTAAACTTAAATCACAAGGGCATATAGGTCAGGAGCAGCTGAAATGGCTAAGTGCAGATATTCCCTCAGTCTCCCATACTGTATATTCCCCTCATTTCAGCTGAGTAGCTGAAAATAGATGGTGGGGGGGAGAACACCCTAAAAAGAAAATGACTGATTACTGATGACTGTGGAGATTCTCAGTCATCCAGGTCATAGTTGTCTCAAAGGTGCTTTTTCAAAAGGCAACAATCCAATTGAAGGCAATCCAATGAAAAAGCATCTTTGAGATGACTGATTATTGTTTACTGGCCTTGAGGCCAAGTTAGGCAGGAAACTAGGTTGTACATTGTGTTGCTGATTTTTTTAATGAAAAAAAAAATCTACTGCAATGAGCAAAGACAGTGTTGGAGAGGACAGAGAGTGCCCCTTCAGGAATCCTCATGGAACTGGATCTCATAAATCCTCCTGCAGATCTGTTTTCGAACAATAATAACTAAATGAGACTTCAGCAGTTGTGTGCTGAAGATCACTTTGTTAAAAAAAAAAAAAAAACACATGCTAAATCTAAGAAAGAAATTAAGTTTATTTTGTCCTGATGCCCAAAATTATTATTGTTGTACATCTATCGAGAAGAGTCATAACTCAGGGTGATTTCTATGTTCTCTTTGGATGCCTTCTGGATATTATCTAACTCATACATTTTGATGGAGGGAATTGATCCACATTGAAATATAATGCCAATAGAGAACTCCTTCCTCCACTGAAAGGAATGGTATGTATCTGTTAAGTGGGATCGCTCCAATGGGTCTGTTGAAGTTTGGCACTTATTGGTAACCATGGAATCAATTCATCCACAGGTAGTGAAGTTTATTTTATTTATTTTTATTTATCAAAGGTATATGCCACTATTCTGAGTGGCCTTGAGTTTCCCTCTCTTGATTTGAGTAACATGTGCATTATTTTAAGCCTGAGGAATCTATAGTAAAGTTGAAGTATTAAAAAATAAAAGGCTTAGTCAATGTCAATTTGTTTTACTTTGGCTGAATGAACTAAACCAGATGTCAAGTTTTCAGGCTCCCTGTTGGAGACATTGTAATCTGGCTGCAAAAATGCAGGAAGTTGCCTCATTTGCACAGTTAATTTATCCCGAATATGGAAAAGAAGCTTTGGGGGAGCGACTTAATCTAACATGCATCAGCAGTACAAAGTGTTATTCATGTGCACTCTTTGTGCACAATGGCTGGCAATCTAGCTCCCCTTCATTAACATCTACTGGATTAATTAAATGATCTACAGTGAAATCAAAGTCCTCAAGGAAAAGGGAGGAGGGGGTGTTAGATATGAAGCAAAATAAGTCTCAAATATTGAGTTTTTCTTTCTTGTATTTCTAACCTGGGGAGAAAGCTAGGCAGAATAATTTTGAAGGAATGAACCTAAGGGTGCAAGTGAATTGTGAGAGAGTGGAAAAGAAAGATAGACCCAGGGAAATCATAGCATTATTGTGGGCCTTGCCAGAAGACAGATGGCAAGAAGTGAAAAATATCCCAAAACAAAAGCAAAATTCTGAGCAATGAGGGCAGAGGACAAAAGGGGTAGCAGAGCATGAGAAGAGGCCTGCCATAGCAGGCTCAGGACATTATCAGATCTCAACAATCTCTGGGTCACAATACGCTGCAGCAGAGAAGTACAGGGCATGGTGGAAACAAATAAGGAGAGGACTGATAGCATTTTTAATTACTTGGGGTTTTTAGCAGTCATTTTCAAATATTAAATGCACGTTACACAGGACTACTATATCTAGATCAGGGGTGTCAAACTCACATCATCATGTTGCCATCACATGACATATTGAGACTCCCCCCCCCTTCGCTAAACCAGGCATGGGCGTGGCCAGTGCATGACGCATCTGGCCCATGGGCTGGGAGTTTCACAGCTCTGAGCTAGATCAGAGGTCACCAAACTTTTGGACCTCAGGGACCACTAAATACATAATTTTAAATCCTGCAGAGCACTAATATGAATCTAATGCACCACTCGCTGAAGTGTCTGGACTCCCAGTCAGTGATGGGATGAGGTCCTTCAGGCACTTAGCTTGGCCGCCTGTTTCTGCAACCTTAAACACTCAAAGGTCCATTTGGATCCGTTTCCCATAGAAAACAAAACACCGGGGGATATATATATATATCCCCCTCCCTCTGCCTCTGCCTCTCCCTCCCTCTCTCTCTCTCTCTCTCTCACCCCACTCTCTCTCTTGCTATTGGATAGGGGAAATACTATATTCATCCAATCAATAGCCCCAGTATCTCAGCCAGTTATGAACTAGGGCCAACCCTATTTAGTTCCTGAAATCAGCCAAGGTGCCTAGCATTACAAAAACAAGAACTATGTCCTCTTTCACTATATTCAGAACCAATTCAGATTTCTTCTCTATTATTGCTTTTTCTGTTGTTGCTTTTCTTGTTATTACTATGGCAAAAGTAGAGAGGAGGAGGGAAAGGGGGAGGGGAGAGAAAGAGAGAGTGGAGAGAGAGAGAAAAAAAGAAAGAGAAGAAGGAGAGAGAGAAAAAGAGAGAGAGAGAGAATAGTGAGAGAGAGAATGAGGTTACAAAAAGCACCCATGTCCTTCTGACATCAAACTCAATTTTACCTTTGTAATGAACTATAAAGGGAACATCACCATTTTCATATGTCACAATCCTTTTGCCCTTTTGCTGCTACTATTGTTCTTAGCATGCTGGGCAGACTGCACATCTTGAGTGGAAAAATGATGTTTTAACTCCAGTCTTTGTATTTACAGGAATTAAGCATCTAAAAACCCAGAAGGAATTGGCATTTCCAGAGGAAGATGAAGGAGTCTGTGAAAGGGATGAGGAATAGAACCCTTAATGGCACCAAACCTCTCGCGAAAGAGTCTTGATGGTCAAACATGAAACTGCTCAACTTTCAGTACTTACTGTGGAACTTTATGGCTTATGTTCCTGACCCAAAACAGTCTTCATCCTAGTACCTAAGAAAAGGAAGGTTTTGCAGAGGAATTCATCATTTGCAGAACTGGCCTAAGGTACCTCCTTGGTGAAGAGAGCCATTTCTTTTCTCGCCATTTCCTTTTCTTTGTAATAACTCAACTTATATGCCATATATGCAAATATATGGTTTCCAAAGGTGTTGGCTCTACTGTCTTAAATTCCAAATGTGAGCTGCAGCCTAAAATCAGTTGTAAATAGTGCAGATTTAAATGCTACAAAATAAATACAATGTACGTTTAGACTAAATGGTACTTTGTAGAGTCTTTCTTGCAGCAAAAAGCCAGATTGATGAGATTCCTTACAGATGCTCTACAAAGATTGGGAAAAATCTGCGGCCTCTTCTGATCCTCCAACCCTGGCTAAAGAAAGAATAAGGTAAAGGTTCCCCTCACACATATGTGCTAGTAGTTTCAGCCAAATTCCCTTCTTCGTTCTCCAAATGCAGAACAACTTTTCCCCCCTCTGCATTCTCCAGGTGTTTCTTTTTACAATATCAGATTCAGCATGGCTTCTCATTTTAGCTATAAAACATGGCAAAACTTTTGCTCCTTGCAATCCTTCAGTGTGTACATGTAAGAGTTAACAGGAAATTTGAGACTACCCAGAAACTGCACTCCAATATTCCAAGTGTGTTGTTGAAAAAGTGCTTGTTAAGAAGACACCTACAATTTCTCCACTTGTAGGAAGCTTGACAAGCCTGTTAGGTTCATTCAGATTTCAAAATACTAGCTCTGAAAACTCTCTGTAATCATCCCCCAAACTTGTCCCATTTTAGGCAAATTAATTACTTCAAAGTTGTATGCATGTACTGTATAATTACTACATGTGTGCAATGGTATTTCTGCTAATATAGGTTCTCAAGGTGATGGATGATAACTAAAAGAAAGTATTCTAGTAAAATTAAAACAATCAAAGTCACTATCATTCAAATCAAAGAGTTGTGAAAAACTTGGCAAAGGCAGCAGCATTTTTCCTCCTTTCCTAAAATTTTGATGGGTGAGAGAGGGCATTTCTTTGTGAACCTGTGCTACTAAATGACAATAGCATTTAACTGAGTCTGACTCTTGGCAATTCTATGGGCCAAGTCTCAAGATGCCAATCCATAGCTTGCAATATGCTCATACTAATGGGTCTTTCTTGGAAATATAAATTTCCAATAAAGGCTCACTTCGGTTGCTAGGAGGCCATACTGAAAACCAGCACTAATTTATCTTCAAACCTCATATCTTTTTTCTAGGAATTCACCTGAACTGAATCTGAAATATGCAGACTGGAATAAAAGAACATCCATGTTATATGGTGGTTATATAGCAGAGGTGCAGATCCCTGGGGAGAAGGGGCGGGGGTTGGAGTCCATCTTCCCACAGCTGTTCAGTTTCCTAGTTTATTTCTGAACTCAATCCAAACAATCAATTTTCCAAAGTTAATCCTTTTGTCTTTGGCCCAGTTATAATTTAAATCTAATCTTTTGGTATCCTAAGGATAAAACTTATGTCATAGCACATGACAATAAGAAGTGTTGGTAATTAAAATGTGATGTGTGTGTGTGTATGTGTGGCAGCTCTCTTTTGTGATGAACTACCAGACATCTTTCTGGTCAACCCTGGGAATGCTTTGTTGTTTGGGTCACCAATGCTGTGTTTATCCAATTTATTAATCCTGCTTTGATTAGCCACAGCTTGCTGAAAAATCACAGCTGCCTAGGTTTATTCAACAGCCAAGCCGTATATTATGATTTACAAGCTACATTTGCTGAGTTCACATAATATGTTAACCTATAGAATCATTTGCTTGTCTTTAGGAGAGCAGGATATGCAAGCTGTATAGCAAACTTAGTTTTATTTTGATTAACTTTCAGTATTACTTCACTGGGTCATGACTGGAGATTTGTTGGCCACTTTTGCTGGCTTTTCTTATGAGTAGTGCGGTGGCCTAGAGGTGGAACTCTCGCCTCAAATTCAGGAAGCTGTGAGTTCAACCCTAGGTAGAGGCAGATATTTCTCTCTATGGGTACGATATATCTGCTGAATATAACTCCGCGTTGGCAACAGGAAGAGCATCTGGCCAGTAAACACTCTGCTCTATTCAGTTGCCCAGATTCCACCCCATAAGGGATTATAGGATCATTAAAAGATGATGATGATTTGCTGGCTTTTCTTTATACATAATTACACACACACACGCACATACACACATACACCTAGAAAATCCAGCAAAGTTTTAGGACTTATAGCAATTAGTCAAATTATGGTGGGACGCCCCTTAAGTAAGATATAATTCTCTTCATAGCACTGTAACAACTGAACTGCTAGAACATTGTATGAGGTTTTAATTCAGCATCTTAGGGAAGAAATCAATGCATTAATATGGCACAAGACAAAACAATACAGATCAGAATTTCTGCTTGTGAATTGGCAAGAATTTTGGAGAACCAATTGAGTGGAAGTGAGCATGTGCACCTTCTTTGGCTCATTCAGTTATCATAACCTTCTCCCTCCCCCTTTTTTTTTTTTTTGAAAATGCCAACTGCCTTTGGAGATCCCATCTGGGGGAGAAGGAAACAGTGAAAGGTTAATTAGCTCTTCAAAATGACCCTCCTTATAATGCAAATCTTTCTCTCTCTCTTTCCCATACCCATATGGGCAGCCCCACAATGTAGCACAGAAATGGATCCCCAAATGTATCAATACTGCAGTCAATGCAAAAGAAAAGAAACGAAAAGAAAAGGCATGATTTGCATGGCGTAGATTGACAGCTGAACAGAAGTGGGACAGTCAGCTCATTTCTTTTGATCAATTTGATACCACCCTTTGGTGAATGAAATCAATCTGAGAATAGCTGAATCAGTGTGTAGTAAACCAGTTATGCTGTGAATTAAATGGTGGGAAAGAATACCCCACATGTCGTCCTTTTCGAAATGGATTTTATGCAAGAGATGTGAATGTTGCACTGGATCCATGTGAGGAAGAAAATGCTTCTTTATGCAAGTGAATAATGCAATTGGGAGAGAACAGGCTGTTCACAATGATTTCTAAATGTCCTTCTTCCCACTCTTGCTGCAGCCTAGTGGCTCGTGTGGCTAGGATGCTGGACTGGAAGTTAGCAAGCCCACGTTTGAGACCTGAGTGAGATTGAGTGCTGCTGTATGGTGGGATGAGCTCCTGTCCTTTGCTCCAGCTCCTGCCAAGGACATAAACAGAACTCCCAACTTGGCATCCCCTGGGCAACAGTGATGTCATCGGCTAATTCTTCCAACCTGGAACACGTTGGTGCTTCTGTCATGAGTGTGATGTGATCCCTCTCTTTAATGATAACTTAATCATTTTACATAGTCAAAGTGGCTAAGAAGCAGTAAGATATGAACCCGAAGATGAAGACATTTGAAATAAATATTTTCATACAGCAAGGTCATTTCTCTAAGCAGTAGATGACTATCTTCCTGCACATAGCTTTTGGAAAGAGAAAAGGAGTTTGTCATAGTCACTTCCATTTCAAAACTTGAAACTTGGTTAGAGATGCTTGGCAAAATACAAGCGTGCCTATGTGATGGAAAAAAAATGCTTTTAGCTTTTATTGAAAATACTGTTATCATTTCACAACAGTTAGCTCTGATTTGTTACATATCTAAGAATCAACAGAGATATTCTTTCAAAGCAAAGCTTTCTTCAGTAGGTGAGAAAGTCATTCAGGAAGGCCACAGATGCTATTCATTGTTAGTAATTCACTGGGGGATAAAGTGCACCTTCAAACAGAAAATCATCTCTGATTGCTCTAGCTACCAGGTTGAAATAATCACATCAGTTTATATAGCAAATAGAACAATTTGAGTCTTCACGTCTGACTTTAGCATATTTCAAGCAACAACCCAGGGGGCATCAAGCATCTTGAATCAAGGAGCATCAAAATATGTTATTGTTATAATAAATTATGTTGCTATAATAATTCCTTCTCCTTCTCCTTCTCCTTCTCCTTCTCCTTCTCCTTCTCCTCCTCCTCCTCCTCCTCCTCCTCCTCCTTCTTCTTCTTCTTCTTCTTCTTCTTCTTCTTCTTCTTCTTCTTCTTCTTCTTCTTCTTCTTCCAGATTTAACAGATAATCAGAGTTCAAAGGGACCTTATAGGTCATCTAGTCCAACCCCCCGCCCAAGCGGGAGACCCTACACCATTTCTGACAAATGGCAGTCCAATCTCTTCTTGAAGGTCTCGAGTGATGGCACTCCCACAACTTCCGAG